TCAATGAGGATCTCTACAGGAAACTGAAATCATTTGTTTTTTTGGCTTTAACAATTAAAAAAAAAAACTTTCAAACCAAGTGATTTTTCTTATACGTAGCTTGATTTACCTTAAAGAAATAAATATAAATACTAGTCCTAACTATCAATGGAAATACAGTATATGAAAGTTTAATTTCTTATTTTAAGATAATCTAAACTACATTTGCATTTTTCTTCGCTGCACATATCACTTGAACAACGTTGTACAATGCATTGATGTTAACTTTACATATTGAATAAGAAAATATAAATAAAGGTTGTAAATGCCCATTATAATATGTACGTACGTACGCACATTAGTCTGTACATACTTTAGAGATCAAACAACAAACTATTTTCAAAGATGAATGAAAATTACGATTGTTTTTTAAGAAGTATGATATATTTGTACTTTCCATGACTATGAACTATATTAAAGTATTTTATTTTTAGTTGGTGTGGATGGTAAAAGGGACGTTGGTAAATCCAGTCTTGTCTCTAAATTTGCCGAATATGATTTTAAAAAGGGAGAATATAAAGACACATTGCATGTATATGTCACAACTACGCTCATTCCGTTAAATAATTGCACTATCAAAGTAGAATTTTTAGAAACAGGTATTAACAAAGTTATCCTTATAATTAACATATCATTATCTGACATTCTTGAGAGAAAACTTGCAAATTAATTCACAGATTTTTACTTTATCGGACTCAGCCCCCAAAATCTGATTTTTATATATAATTAAATTTTAAATTATTAGTTCTTAATTCACTTTTTCTTTTAATAAATTCATTTGATGACCATGCAATGCTATTTATCGAAAGTGACTAGAATACGTATTCAATTACATTAATTATTACAGGGTCAATTTACAAGGGCTAAGTCCGATAAGGTGAAACTAGAGATACAAGCCGACGCGACCAGCTTGTAAAAAACTAATAGAACCGATAAGTCTATTGCATCTCTAGTCAAAACAATTCACAAATTTACTGTCATTCGTACTGGTATTTGCTATTAGTTGGATTCTTATAGTCACTAATCGTTATCGTTATTCGATAGCTCATGAGTTATTAATTTAATCTGTATTCAAAATGCTAATACTGTAATGCTAATAATTAATATGCTACGTGTGAAATAGTAAAAGTTGATAATTATAAATCGATTAAAATTAAAATTTTTAGAATCACCGTTAATTATTTTTTTTCTTGTAATTTTTGTAGGATGGAATCTCAGACCAAATAAAAAGTGAGTTAATATAATTCTAATGTGTTATGCATGTTTTGTATGAGATTATGTTTTTTTATAGTATGAATATTATATTGTAGTTATTATAGTTATATTGACGGTGCTATACTTGTTTACGATACTTCTGAATCTGACGGATTAAATGAAATGAAAGAAATATCACATGAATATATTAGCAGTAAAATTCCTATTATGATTATTGCCAATAAATGTGACATAAATAAGCATGAAAACAGAGATGACCTTTTAAAAGAAGTTAAAAATTATTTTGGTAATGCATGTAAATAAATCAATATTAAAGATATAATTGTAATTGTTAAATTAATACCTCCGCAAATTTTTAGGAGAAGAATGTTTATTTGATAAAACTTCAATTAAAGAGAAAACTAGCGATAAACTCAATAAAATCTTAGAAGGTATTCTATACTATTAATTCATGAACAGTAATTTGCATAATCAATTAATATAAATATATCATTTAGAATG